ATATATATATATATATATATATATATATATATATGGTTATTACTGTTTTTATAAGGAACATATTAAAAATAATTAAACAAAAATTCCATCTTCCTGGTGAAATGTATACAAATAAATATCTAAGTGACATAGATGTGCTAAGGACTTTTAATTGCTTTAGTCTTCTGAACAGATGGTGAATGAGGAAACAGACCTGCAGTTCCTGTGTAGATCCGGGCATGGACAGAGGAGGGCAGTTTTCTGACAGGTATTTCTCCTTATCTACCTTAACCTGAATGACTTCTTTCTCCATAATGCCCTTCGCAATGCTGAGCACCAAACTCTGTGGACAAATACATAATTTGGACTCTGAATCTCATAAAACACCATAACAGTGTTGCTTACAGCAATAAACACATACTGACAAAAACAGAAGCAGTCGGTGAAAAAACACTATTAATCACGCCAGATGCAGATGGTATTAAACGGAGGGTCATTCTCCTCCTGCAGAGCATTTGATTGGACAAAGCCATATATTTTTTGCTCTGTATTTGTAGAAGAGTAAAACTCAAAAGTAAAATTGAAATGTATGTATATGGTGAAAGTTTATTTAATTAACATTCAGTAGCTAATAGGTAAAATAATGCAAACAGACATCAACTAAAAGCCACAAGTCAAATATTATTTTGATGTTGTTATTAATAATTACATTGTTATATTGTATTATATTTATATTTTAAAAGCCACAAGTCAAATATTAATTTAATGTGGTTTTTAATTATTATATTTAGCATTTTAGTGCTACATTAAAAAATAAAATCTAAGATTACGAGATTAAGGTCATAATATTTTGAGGAAAAGTCAAAATTATGAGAATTTAGTCGTACACTCTAAAAAATGCTGGGTTGTTTCAACCCAACTTTGGGTCAAATATGGACTAACCCAACCGTTGGGTTAAATTTTTACATTAAGATTTTAACCCAAAAGTTGGGTTAGTCCATATTTGACCCAAAGTTAGGTTGAAACAACCCAGCATTTTTTAGAGTGTAGCAATTACAAGATTAAAGTTATAATATTTTGAGAGTATAGCCTATATTATGCATAGCACCGGGAGAAATTCCGGCGGCCTGTCAACTGATTTCAATATATGTTGGATTATTAGCAGAAATCATACTATGTGTCATATACTCTCAGAGACAGTATGCTTGCAATATAATAATATTTCACATTTCATCGAATGCATACATTATTTGTAGTGCGGCAGCCCCAAATAATAGCAATAATATTTACACTTTTGGTACTTTTAATATAAAACAAAGTATCAGCTTTCAAATTCTGTCAGTTTTATAGCGAAATGCAAACAATGTCTTAAAATAATGTTATTTAAGCTCTTTAATGTGGTGTGACAGATTGCTGTATTCGCCTCATCTTTTCGATTACAATGAGACATTAGTTTCATTAAATTAAAATTGATTTAATACATAATTATATTACATTATAAATGTATATTATACTAAATGCCACAAAGCCAACTACTGATTACATCAAGTCCTTAATACATTTATATTATAGTATAGTATAGTTACACCTCTGGACTGTCTTTGTTGTGTTTTCCCTCCCCATGTGCTCCGTGACCCAGTTTCTCCCTCTCATTGATGGTTCATTTGATTCAGGTGTGTCTTGTTGGTTAGTTCTAATTACCCCATGTATTTAAGTCTCAGCCATTAGCTGTGTCTCATTTAGAAGGCTGCATCCTCCGGAGGTCGCATTCGAAGGCTGCATACATCGAGACGGTCTCATTTCAGAAAAGCAAGTAGGACACTCCGAATGCGACCTTCGAATGCGACCTTCTTTCACAGGACTTCGGAGGATTCGTGAGGTGTATCCTTCGCTGCTACAGATAACCCACAATTCTTTGCGTCGCCGTGAACAACCGTTGTTAATTTGAAAAATGCCAGTGCCGGCAGATGTAACGTACACACAAGCGCAGATGTGGTGTTTACAACTTATCTTAAATCGCCTCGGTAAAAACGGATAAACTGTTTTTAATAACCTCCTCCTTTTTTTCTCTAATAGATGCCTGCTGTATGTATGCTGCAGCTCCTCAAACATTGAACAAAATAAAACAAGTAAAACCATTTTTTTTTAATTACTTTCCAAATTTAGGAATAATTTTCCTTAATTTAAGTAGTGTGAGAGCGCAACGATGCTCTAAATGTGTTGGCATAGCAACGTGATACTTCCGGTTCCTTTTCCGCCTGTCCTACGAAGGCCGTCTCGTTTAATTCTTGGTTGAGGACACTTCGTATATGCATCCTACAGAGGATGCGACCTCCAGAGGATTCGACCTCCGGAGGGTGCAGCCTTCTAAATGAGACACAGCTATTGTGTTCTGTCTTTGTTGGGTCTACATGTTGGATTACGTGTGTTTACTAGTGATGGCGAGATCAAGCCTCATGAAGCATTGAAGCTTTTCATCCAAGTGGTTCACAAAAGGGTTAATTTCTCGAGCCTTCATTTGCTCACAATAACACCTGGTGGCCAAAAAGTGTAAAACAAGCAGATACATTACAGATGACCTGATGTGATCTACATTGTTGGGGGTAATATATTACAAGTAACGCAAGTTACGTAATCAGATTACTTTTTTCCAAGTAACTAGTAAAGTAACGCATTACTTTTTAATTTACAAGAGAATATCGGAGTTACTTTTTCAAATAAGTAACGCAAGTTACTTCTTTTTTCAATTTATTGATTGACAGCTCTCCTGTCCCCATGTTGAGAGAAATCAGAAGATGTTACTGTAGTTCAAAATAAATATGAATATGCATTCATTCATCTCACCCACCCAAAAAAAAAAAAGAAAAAAAAAAAAACACAGATTCAGTATTCCTCAAAATGAATAAAAATAATGCAACTCAGAATATGACGCAAACCTGCAATAATTAAATGTTAAACAACACAAATATCCTTTATGTATTTAATTCCATTCTATTAACCTATGTCTTTGCTTCTGACCTTCGATGATCCAGTTCAACCGTACTAATAAGCAAAAATTACTCCAGACAAACATTTGTGTGTCTTTTTATTGCTGAAGTGTGTTGAAATGTCTTCTTCTGCATTCTACTGTACGGATGTAAATTTACTTTCCCTTCAGCCTGAGGCTTATTCATTTCACTTTTGGTGTGAAAAGGCTTTTATATTTGCCAAAAATATAACTTTTTTTATTTTAAAAACAAACAAGCAAGCCCTGTCCAGATTTTAAAAGTAACGCAAAAGTAACGTAACGCATTACTTGCCATAAAAAGTAACTAAGTAACGTAATTAGTTACTTTTTTATGGAGTAACGCAATATTGTAATGCATTACTTTTAAAAGTAACTTTCCCCAACACTGGTGATCTATGATTACACAGAAAAAAAAATAAAATCTATTTCCACATAGACTAATCTATATACTGTATATGAATATAATATGTATTTCATAATGATTATATAACATAACTGTAATAAACGTATTGGCTTGAAATGAATGGGGCTATCAAATGTGTGTAAATCAAGTCTTCGCTCATAATAGGCAGGAGGGCCAATATTATTAGTCTTAAACTTGAAAGTGGCTGAGTTTAACAGGGCAGAGGACTGAATTTACAAGATTCGAACCGCTTCCTGAACCAGTCTGGCCAAGCGAGGCTTCGGACGTCATCAATGACGTCATTGCTCTAAAGCGATACAAGCCTCGATACGCACGTTCTGAAAGCTGCCGGGATTTCTCGACACACGCTCCGAAACCTCGGCACAGAACGTAACATCACTAGTGTTTACCCCTGTTCCTGATGTGGATTATCCCCGGTGTTTTCTTGATTAAAGACTGTTAATGCCACTTCTCGTCTCCATCGTTCCTTCCGACAGTGACCCGAACCTAATACAGTTAGTTACATGTTTACCCCCGCTTTTTGTTTACAAGTTTTTTTACAGTTACAAGTTTTCTGTTTTCCCTGTGTTTCCATTGATCCCGTCGCCGCTAAGTTTACCTCTCTCGCCCGTAAGGACCTGCCCCTCTTGGGGTATGTGGTTGAGTTCAGCCAGCTCGCCGTTTTAACGACATTCGATGACGCTGCGTTGAACTCATCGTTCTGATCGGGCCAAATTACCATCGCCCCGTCTACCTCCCAGACACCACTGGACTGAGCTGGAGGGGAGCAATCATCCGGTGTCTGGAGAGTGTCTACCCCCGATCTGGAACAAAGCCAGACCCAGAGCCCAGCCCACCCTCTTGATGGAGAGCCCGAAACCGACGCGGCCGATGAGCCATCGCCACATGGAGTGACAGAGCTGAGGATCGCCGCGGAGTCGGAGCTGCTCATGACGTCAGTCCAGGTGCGAGAGCCGGCAACAGAGCTCGCCACAAGGGAGAAAGCGGTGGACAGAGAGAGCGCGGAGGGTGAGTAAGGATTTGGGGGAATGCAAAGCTGAGGAAAACTTAATTGACTTGTATACCGACCTGCCCCCTTTCCTCCTCCTCCGTCGGTGAACTCTGTCCCTCCCATTCCTGAGTTTAGCCCAGAGAAAGTTCCTGTACCCATGTCTAGTCCAGATAAAATTCCTGTTCCCATGTCTAGCCCAGAGGGGGCTCCTGATCCCCCGTCCAGCCCATAGAGGGCTCCCGTTCCTGAGTTAAACCCTGAAAGCCCGGTGGCTCACAAATGCCCGCCCTACCACCCGCTTCTGCGGCTCCACCATGGCTCCTAGCTCCCTCCGCTCCGCCTTGGCCCATCAGTCCACTGGCTCCGCCGGGTTCCCTCGTCCCTCTGGCTCCGCCTTGGTCTGTCGTCAACCATTCGTCACCTCGGGACTCCACTCCTCCGGCTGTGTCAGGCTCCTCCATCCCTTCGGCTCCTCCTCGGTCCTCTGTCGCTCCGGCTTGGCCCTCCGGTTCCTCCCCGTCGCCCTGGCTCATCGGCTCTCCATCTCCGCCTCGGGCTCCTCCGCCGCAGTTGGTCGCCCCCCTGGAGTAGTCAGCCCTTCCTCCACCTTGGCTCCTTCCTCCGTCGGCTCCACCATGGGTCGCCATTATGGCTGTGGCCTGGGTCCCACCTGGCACCGCATGCTCCAAATCCCTCCTGTTTCCTCCCTGGCTCCTCCCTCCGTCTGATCTGCCCTGGACTCTTTCTGTCGTCCTCCTCCCAAGGTCCCACCCGTCCCTGCCTGTGTTGTACCTTTGGCGCGAGGGGGGCGATATATCACGCCCCTGGACTGTCTTTGTTGTGTTTTCCCTCCCCATGTGCTCCGTGACCCAGTTTCTCCCTCTCATTGATTGGTTAATTTAATTCAGGTGTGTCTTGTTGGTTAGTTCTAATTACCCCATGTATTTAAGTCTCAGCATTTGCATTCTGTCTTTGTCGGATCTACATGTTGGATTACATGAGTTTACCCCTATTCCTGATGTGGATTATCCCCCGTGTTTCCTTGATTAAAGATTAAAGCCACTTTGCGTCTCCATCGTTCCTTCTGACAGCATATTGTGACAATTATATTATAAATTTATATTATATTATACTAAAGGCCACAAAGTGAAATACTGATTACATCGGGTCCTTAATACACATTATATTAAAGACATCTGTGCATTATTTACTCTACCTTGAGATGGTGCCTGCGACTCGATGTCATCTTTTTGCTGTCATGAGAGGATGAAGGAATTACAATTTAGCAAAACAAGAACAGATTCCCATTTGTTTGATAGTAAATGTAAATAACTGATATATTCATATACTCACTCAGACATCTTGGCCACCTGTTTTCTTCACCCCTATACAGAGAGCAAAACACAGCAAATACCTCAGGTCAAGAAACCCCTTTGATATATTGACTTGAAAATGGTATACATTACTTAGAGGTCCTTATGTAATATATTCATGTAGAGAGAATCATATGGCGGGCATCAGTATTCATTTGTATCATATAGAGTGGGCTATATTTTCTGCATTCCTAATTTGAAACCAGCATTTGGAAACGTCTTGTAAGCGTGCCCACTGTGATCTGCCGGGAGGGGTGTGAATATCCCCCTCTGATATCCAGTATCCCAATCTCCCTGCTTCTGGAAAAATCTATGCAGATGCCAACAATACAACCAATCTGAAACCCTGTCTGCAGACAGCTGCATAAATCACACAGATCAGATTTTGCTGTATCCAGAATTCTTACATAAATATAACAGACCCTTTCAAAGCAGTTCAAGAGATATCTAGGGGGGCCTTTCCATGAATACTGGGTGTTTTGAATGTTTTATTTTCACAGATGCATTAATGCTATAATCAGAATGCATTAGAAATACAATTCTGTCCCCACCTGATTGGAATTTTAACAAACATATAATGCATTTAAAATGTCACTTTTGTGCCAAGCTCATTTTGGCAGTCCAACATGCATTG